CCAACAAGGTTGCGTTAAACGTTTAACGCTACATTTTTATTGGCCGGGAAATCACGTGGTAGGATCCAGTTTTCCCTCATTCATTTCCATATTGTTTTGGTTCTCACTAGNGGCATTTTTTTTTCAAATTTCTCAAGAAATACGTCGAGAATCATTTCATAAATTTAGAGGTATTTAGGTCATGCAGTTTTTCACATATATCAATGAAATTTAAAGCGCTTGAGGAAGCAGCTATAAATTGCAAACTAAAAAGACTGTTTTTGAACACCCTATGGAAAAGAAAAACAACCAGCTTTTAACTTGTATCAATCACTTTAGTTATTATATGCAAATTTCTCTTTCTTCCCGCAATCTAACATTTATTTATTTATTAATTTTTTATAACCGTAGTTGAACAGCCGAACCATGTTTAGGTTTACGACTACTATTGTTCAACTCCGTAGGCTTGGCCCAACCCAGAAGACAAGGATCTTGGATCAATAGCCCCAGAGGTATGGTTTGTTATGGGAGCATGGGGGACTTTGTGACTCGACTGATTTAAAGAGGATCAGTCACCATTTACTACACGGGGGTCGTCGGCCAACGGGATCGAAGCCACGACCTCTTGTACAAGGACCCAGTACCCTTTCCAGCCAGGTTATCCTGGCTTGCAATTAAACATTTATCATAAACAACAAAATTTGTTGCATGCACCTTACTGTACAGAGAGTTATATGTTGAATTTCGATAGCTTTTTTATTTTTTCCTCACCTGAATAAATCGATATGGATTCTAAAAGTACATATTAAAAGCTGCCTTTATAAAACACATTACCTTTCTCCTTGATGATAGTGATACAATATAATTTCAAATATTTTTGCTGATATAGTTATATAAGCTACAGACGAAGCTCGCAATTAATTCGTTTTTAACTAAGCTAAAATGAATAATACTAATGATTTTTCTTATTTTCTACTTATAACAATATATGAATTGAAAAAAAATCTAAGCAACAACATACATTGCAACACGTAGTATATAATAAGTAATAATAGTTAGTAATATATATAAATAATTATAGTATATCACAAAAATTGCGACACCCTAGTTTTGTCAAAACTATATGTTATTCTGCTTCATTTTATATCGTTTTAAACTTCAAATTTGTTATATATTAACACAATCTAATTTTTGAAACTATTCAAATACTTTAAGTTTAAAAAACTAGGATAAATTTGCGAATAAAACGTTGAGCAAAGCGAGCAACATAACGCTAGGTTATTTCGAAATATTAATTTATTTACTCGGAATTCTTAAACAAATATTTTTAAACAGAGAAAATTAGATTTTGTATTGATGTGATTTATATTTTAATTTTTATTCTAAATGAAATTTAAGTTGTGATTATGTTGTTTAAAAACTTAATTAAAATTTGCGACATGAAGTGTACTTTAAAAATGATGAAATATTTACTTTGAATTTTTAATCAAATATAATTCAAACGTTAAATTGAGTTTATTTTAACAGAGTATAAGTTTTTGCAATGCACGGTTCACACATTAATTTATATTTTAAATGAAACTATAAGGAACTAATTGTAGTGTTTTTAAAAACTTCCATAATTTGTTAACAAACTTGAAAAATAAATTTATTTATGAGAATCTGAAACTATGAAACATTCCAGAACAAAACTATGTCACAATTGTATTTACTACAATATTTGTTACACGCAAGAAGATTAATTATTTGTAGTCTTCAAAATTATTATTTGTATTAAGTTAAATAAAATAGTTAATGAAAGTTAAGATATTTCCTCTCGTCACTGTTAAAAATGGTTTTAAATTCAACGTGAAACTACATTATCAATCGTATATTTTTCAATTGCTACTATTAATTAGTTTTAAAGGTAATTAATTCATTCCAAAAAATAATTTCTGAAAGGTTTATTTTCAGTTTAAGAACTATCCTTCGAAAAAAAATTGTTGTATGATAATAATTTGAATTGCGAGACCCGATAGGCAGGATTTTTTTATTTATTTATTTAATTTAGATTTTGCTAAAGTTCCTAAAATTACATAAGCTGTTTTGTAATAATTTCCTTCAATAATTTTTAAATCTTTACGAAAAATAAATACCTATTAGGGATGACCCAAAATAATATTTCAGTGAAGAATGTCTGCCGAATCAATAGTAAGGAAGAGGTAACTTAATGTAGCGAACATCAAAACAAACTAAATGTTTTTACTAATAATCAATCTTCTTTTCTTCCAACAATAAAACAGGTCTTGATTTTTTCATCCTGCTTTCCTTACTAATGATTCAACAGATTTTGAAATATTTTTTTTTCTTTCTCCTTCAAATCTTAATTCTATTGGGTATATCCTTGAGTCTAATGGATATACCTTACAAAATACTAATAGGCAGACATTTTAACTTTATTTTTGACTGGCTTTCCAAAAATATAAATTAAGAACTGTAATTACCGCTGCTCTGTATAGCAGTAATGAATGTAACATATTTAATATTTATATAGACCTGCAGGATATCTTAAAAATTTAAACTCAAGTTCTTTATTTATTCAATTTTAGCAGACACGATTTAGACATTTGAATACATTTTTTTTAATCTACATGATGTAAATGACAAAGCACAGCTTATATAAAACGAGACAAAGTATTACTTTTGGAATAATAATTCATTAGAATTGCTTATGTACACTATCCTGCAATAATGGAAGAGACACTTTGAATTTTTGGCATTTTTTTTTCAAATTTCTCAAGAAATACGTCGAGAATCATTTCATAAATTTAGAGGTATTTAGGTCATGCAGTTTTTCACATATATCAATGAAATTTAAAGCGCTTGAGGAAGCAGCTATAAATTGCAAACTAAAAAGACTGTTTTTGAACACCCTATGGAAAAGAAAAACAACCAGCTTTTAACTTGTATCAATCACTTTAGTTATTATATGCAATGATTGCACAAAATGAAAGATTGCACCAAACGAAAAAAAAGACTGTTTCTGAACACCCTATGCAAAATTACGGCAACTTTCAATCACTTTAGTTATTATATACAATGATTGCACAAAACGAAAGAGTGCATCGAAATGGAAAGACTGTTTTTGAACACACTGTGAAAAAGTACAGCAATGAACTTTCAACTTGTATCGATCACTTTAGTTATTATATGCAATGATTGCACGAAACGAAAGATTGCACCGGAAGAAAAAGACTGTATTTAAATATCCTATGCAAAAGTACAGCGATAAGCTTGTAACTTGCATCAATCACTTTAGTTATTATATGCAATGATTGCAGGAAACGAAAGATTGCACCGAACGAAAAAGACTATTTTTGAACATCCTTTGTAAAAGGACGGTAATAAGCTTGCAACTTACATCAATCACTTTAGTTATTGTATGCAATGATTGCACAAAGCAAAACGATTGCGCCGAACGGGAAAGACTGCTTTTGAACACACTATGCAAAAGTACATCAATAAACTTGCAACTTTAGTTATTATATGCAATGATTGCACGAAACGAAAGATTGCATCGAAGGAAGAAGACTGTTTTTGAACATCCTATGCAAAAGTACTGCAATAAGCTTGTACCTTACATCAATCACTTTAGTTATTATATGCAATGATCGTACAAAATTGCGCATACCCAGATTTAAATACTCGTGGTAATATAGACATTTTTATGAAAAACCGAACTTATCGCCCTAAATTTTCTTACTATAACTGTAAAAAAGTAAAATAATTACGAAAAATAATTCAATAATATTCATTTAAATGAAATTTTTATAACAATTTTTAATTAGTAACAAAAATATCTTTTTTTAAAATTCAGAAATTGCATAAGATATGAGCATTTAAAGTAATCCTCTTGTACTGCGCATGCACGGAAACAACAAAAAAAATAGTGCGTGGAGTCCCTCCACGCGGAAGAAGATAAACTTCGTAACCTGCGATGTTAATTGTAGAAGAATCAGCAGTCGTAGAAGAATCACTAGTTCTATTCAACGACTCTTTTTCCTGCTCCGCTCGCTTCCGTGCTCTGTAATAACGGTAATATTGTGCATTTTTCCCTCGTGGACCTCTTGAACCAGTGGAAGTGCTTGTGGTTGCCTCATCGTCTCGCCCTGGAAAATGTATTTGTATTAATAATGTATGTGAATGCGTCATAATGTAATTTCAGAAGAGAAAACCTAACAATCAATTGATATTCACAAGAGACGTACCTTGACATAACCTTAAATCCGTCGCATTGTCCGTGGGATTGTTTTCACTCATTTTTTACAATTGTTATCCACTAAATTTGAAAATAAAAAATACTACCCTATTAAATTATATGTGTATCAAAACAAACTAAAAAAATATTTATAGAAAAACAATACTTTTATGACTTTTATTATTTTTATGCTAGTGAGAACCAAAACAATATGGAAATGAATGAGGGAAAACTGGATCCTACCACGTGATTTCTCGACCAATAAAAATGTATCGTTAAACGTTTAACGCAACCTTGTTGGAAGTCGCCTAAAAAGTATAACTTCAAAAAAAACTTTCCTAATTTTATATTTTATCGTATTTGGTAAATTAGGAAAAAAGTCTGTTTGAATGACTTGAAAATTCTAGCAATATTCCATGTAGTGTTTGTAAATTTTTAAACAATGCTGTGAATGATGAGGGACTTCCCACAAATTTTTTTTTCTACTCAATAAGATTTATAAAAAATGACACCTGCATCATAAAGGACTATCCCCTATTATAGTATACTTCATTTCGAATTTTTCTTTTCTTAAATCATCCTAACTCGTTATTCGAACAATCATTACTGGATATTATTTTCTGATATAAAATTTTGTTTAATGATAACAAAAATGAAAGTATTGTGAGAATCTGTGATTTGTGGAACGAATTTTATACATAAATGGACATAATTTTATTGTTTGTATACTACAATAGCAGCTATGAAGATTATTTTTATCAAACATTGAAAAATGGATGCAATATTCTTCCATAAATAAGTTTTTATTTATGTGTAATACAAATTTATTTTACAATAAGAAAAATATTAGAACACAATATAAACAAAAACGCTTTCTCAGGAAACCTATTTGTCTTTAAAGCTATTTTAAATAATGATTCCCATCCCCTGTGATGAATTACATTATTAATGTAAATTTATATCATAATGAATATATTATAATGGAATTATACTAATATTAAAAGAAATTATTAACATAATTTTACAATACAATTTACAATTATTTACAGTTTACAATTTAACAGTTACAAATTTACAATTTTTTAACTAGTTACAAATTTACAATTATTTAACTAGTTACAAATTTACAATTCTTTAACTAAATATCACACTTTTCAGCTTTTATTGTCATGCATTGGATGTACACATTTTCACAACTTAATTCATCAGTATTTGATGCTTTGATGTAAGAGACACATAAAAATTATATTAAGGTAAATAATTTAAGAAAATAAAGTGTGTAAAAAGTAAGCTTTTCCAAAAAGAAAAGCATAACAAAAATTACATTATAATTTAAAACTTTCAAGCTTATCTTTACTAAACTTACTAATCCTTCTTTATATATATATAAAAAAAAAATTTAGAATTTCCCTTTTGTATCTGCAGTAAACAAATTTCATCTAGTTCAAGAATAGCAAAACCTTTTGATGAACTTTATAAATTTCTTGCAGTTTGGATAGAACTGTAGCTGTAAAATCAGTTGTTAGAGTAAAATTATCTGTAAACAATAGTGGGTATCAACAATTTGTGAAAACAATAATGGGAATCTGAATTAGCCATCTTTTAGCCAAAAATTATTAATAATCACTTCATTTATTTTGGAGTTTGCTTCCAAATTTCAAAAAATTTTAACTTCATAGCTACAGAAATTAAATGTCATGAAGTATAAGATGTATTTTCTTTAATTATGAAAAGACATACTTGAATCAAGTATAGCCTTTCATGTAAAATGCTTTTGATAAAAAATAACAGTAAATAGTTAGCTTCAATAAAGTTTTTATATTTTTACCAACGTAAAAGTGAGTTATCTTTTATAGCAGCAAAAACAATGCTGATGTAACCTCGACATATAAAAATTTTTAATAACAATATGGGACTCTCTAAAACAATTATTATATATTTAACAAACAATTAAATATTTTTTAGCAATACTTCTTCATCAACTTCCCACATTGTAACTATTTAGAGAGTAAATATTGAACAATCCTCAGTTTTTAAGTAAAATAAATCTACACTTTTTTTTAAATAACTAATCTTCTTTCTTTAGTAAGGAAATCGTTGATTGGGTATTCTTGAAACAAACAACTAAGAGCGAAGTTACTCCAATAATTATTTCAAGCAAGAGGAAAACAGTGGACCAGCCGTACTGTTCAGCTAGGTAACAGATTGGAAGACCAGACATTGTAGAACCAACTAAAAACGATTAAAAAATGGATATTAATAAACTATGTAAATAAAACATTTGTTAATTCATTAAGACAAAAACATTGGATTGAAAGTTGACAAAAAATTTTCTCAATTAAGAATGTTTTTCTTCGATAAATATAAATAAAGCAGCAGCTCGGTAAGGATAAATTCAAAGTAATTTTAAATTCTATCAGAGATGAAATAAAGAAGATTTTACTGTTAATAACTTTTGTTTTAGTGATCAGATTTTCATGTAATCTTAACAGTCTTAACCCATTTTAAGCAAATGGGACACGTATTTTTCCTTTTTTTTACGCTCCTATTTTGAGGATCAAGAATTCGAATCCGTTAGAAAAAAGGTACGTTTATTCAGAGATAGTATGTTATTGTGTCTGATCGCCTGCACTCATTAATTAGCATATTTGAGTCTAGTTCTCGAGTCATTAAGATCGCGTCTCAATTCATAAAAATCCAATCATTAGATCTAAAATAAATTAGGGATGCTAATTTTTTTTTGTTCACTACTCACCTCTTTTATATTTTATTTATTTATTTTGAGTGATTGGAAGTTTAAAACCTTCCAATTTTGCTTTAAATTTAGAGATTAAACTGTGGTAGGATAGTAAACATACTTTTACTTAAATATTTCTTTGCAGCGATAAATATCACTCTGCGCTAGCTAAAAACATAATTAATCAAAATAGAAATTTAATATAATATGTGCTATAATTCTGAAATAATATTAAACACAGAGTATTGCATTAATTTCCAATATATATTATTTTAATTCTTGAGAATGAATTCAACGTGAGGGGATAAATTGAGATTAGTTATCTAAATTAAAATGAATGAAAATAATTACTAAACTAGTTATGAGTTAGAGGACGAATTTGGAAAGTTAATCTATGAAATCTATTTTATTAAAATCTAGTTAAAACTTCACTTACTATTTCCACCTAAGGCTGCTATAGCGTAAGCACTTCCGCTCATATGTGAAGGAGCAGATTCGGAAGCTGCAATACCACATATTGCAATCATTCCATACAAAGAAGCTCCTGATGAAAATCCCAGACTCATAATCCATATCTGAATAGGAGTCGAAAATAATTAATGAAATGAAGTCTATGAAATTTCAAAATATCAAATTCAGATTTAATACATATTATTTAGTAAGTATTATTTTGAAAAATATTTTAAATACATGAATTTAAAACTTAACAGCTAATATATTAGTTAATAAACTATTAATTGTAATTTTTTTTACCCTCGTTTATTCTCAGATATGCAGGGCGAACAATAAAGTTAGTATATATCCTGCTCACTTCCGAATAGTAAATAGAAAAGCATTCTTAAAAAAGTAAATAGCAATATTAAAAGTAGTGTTTACACGTTTGTAAATAGTCGTCAAGTCTTGAAAGATGAGGCCGGTCGCAGCGTCATCTGGTAGAAAAATAAAAAATTAGCTTTCGACCTCGAAAACCGTATAAGAGGGAGATTATAACGTTATAGAACATTATAGATTTAGTAGAGATAAACACTATGCGGACATAAGTGCTGAGAATGAAATGCGTAATATTTAAAATCGTTCGCCTCGTCATTCTATAGAAAATCACGAAACCGCAGTCTTGCGGTTAAAGAATCGGACTACGATCTAGAGGGACAAGGGTTCGATTCTAGATTCCACTGGGACCCACCGAGTATATGCGATATAAGTGTTCGTAAAATCTGTAGAATCGAAAGTGCAGTGGTCGGTGAGTAGTACCATGGTACAGGGATCTAGAGAGAATCTCCTTCCTCTTTACGTCTGTGTCTAAATTGAGGAAATGTTTTTACGAATGAGTGGTACAGCCATATCTATCCATAGGGTTCTGAGCTGAAACATACCTTCACCATTTTGGTGGCTCTCTTGTCAAACGGAAGGCGCACTTTTGAGACTATGCAAAAGGCAAATGGCTGAAGACCTTGGCTAGCCCAAGTGTCATTAAAAATAGCAACATAGAAAATCACCAAATGTCTTTTGTTTATTCATATTAAATTCATTAAGCTTTATAAATACTCACTTATCTTTTTTACTAGCCCCATTTCTAAGACATTAACCTTAACTCTTCAGTTTTCCACCAGATGTCTGTGTAAAGGTACTCATTAACTAGCACATTGCTAGTTAATGGCTACTTTACTCTATATATACACCACTTTTATAATTACGGCTGAAGTCGTTCAAAATATAAAAGGGTGGGAACGGAATTTTGTGGGAACTTTGCATGCATATTGAAATTAAACAAGCTTTTTATTTAATGGAAATTATTTTTATTTTAGGGATAAACTACTAATAGGAAAAGATTTTTCAGTATCATAGTAATGAACGCAAATTTGTTTACAGACACAATTCCGATATGCTTGATAGTATAAATACATACTTCATTTGATTAAAAAATTATAAAAGTAAAAAAGTAGGCAAGTTTCGAGGGCACAAAAATTAGCACCCATTCTCAAAATTTGTCTATCGTGATTGCGGAAGTCAAAACAATTTGATACTTAAAGGATCCTTAAGGGTCAATTCCGATATAACCAGTATCATTCATTTAACATGCATGAATAAGCAAGAAATAATTCTATTATAGCTACAGTGCAACCGTTCTAAAAATTAAACCATTCAAATTTTACCGCTAATAGGAATAAAATTGTTTTTGTATTTTTGGTAAATATTATTAAGTAAGGAAATATTATTGAGGAGTAAATTCTTTTCATTATTAAATATGAAGATTTTGGTTTACATAAATTATAAGAAAACTCATTTCAACTGAATTTGAAAAGAAGCATGCTTTGTTCGAATTATTATTTACCACTTTCGCAGTTGCTCATAAAATTACTAAAACTGGCACTCTATGCAACTATATGCTGGCCATTTAAATTCAAGCAATGCAGGCATTACATTGGCTTGAAATTAATATTGAATAACAAATATTGCTGATGGGAAACAACATTGTTAAATGGTGCTGTTGACTTGATTTCAACATTTTGGAACCAAAACTGAAAAGACTCACCAAAGAAGTGTCTTCATCCAGAGTTGTTCGAAACATATGCACAGAGAAAATACATCCCACTAAAAATGCTACAGCTACTGTCATACGCACTTGATAGGCAGGTGTTTTATTATCCTTTAAATAAACGAAAAATTTTATATTCATACGTTATTAATATGTTTCCAAATATGCTACACAGAAATTAACCCCTCTACTTATCTTTTTTAATTTAAAGTTCCTAAAAGTTTTAATACTATTAAAGTTATTTCCTGTTTGGAAATACACGTATGCAACTTGAACACGCATGCCAACTCCATATAAGGATTGCATAAAATGAAATGTAATGTTTGATGAACAAGAGCCAGATGTTCATAATTTCTAAAAAGCTTTATTAATAAGCAAAATTTTTTCAACAACTTAACAAAATAATACTTGTTTTAAAGAAAATACTTCAAAATTGAAAGCCTTTTGAAATTAGACAAGATTTTTAAAATGCTTTGAAGAGCTAACTATCTTGCTCTTCTATTCGAAAATAAGTTTACTTTTTTGCTTATTTAATTTGTCTTATTTTAATAGAAGTATTTCAGTAATGTTCACATGTGCTCAGGGAAAAAAAATTTCATTTGTTACTGTTCAATATTCTCCTAAAATTCCTTTTAAAAAAACATATACCTTTCCATTCATTCATTCTTTTCCAAGAAATATAAACAAAACTTGAAATACTTTATAATACCATCTTAAATCAAAAGGATTTAAAGTAATTTTGTTTTGTAATTTTATTTTGTTATCTTGTTTACTTGAGATAAATAAAAAATCTGAGCGGGAATTCTTTGAAATTAAATCCAACTATGTTTACAAACTTTGAATTAACCTCCGATGTATTAAAAAAATAGTAGAAAATAGAAGACTAGATTGAAAGATATTCAATCTAGAGGTAGCCAAAAAAAAAAAAAAATCTTTTTTCAAATGTAAACGGATCCAGCAGTAATTTTTGTTTTACTTATTTTTTTATTTTAATTTAGAGTAACATGAGTGAAACTAAGGATGATCAAAATTATTTTGCAAAATTGTTACTACATTTTTTTTCTTAAATCTTCCATTATTCTACTCTAGTTCTATCTGTTTATGTAATAACTTGATGTTCTCTTTATTTATTCATTTTTTTTTTTTTATTCTATATATTCGTGTTAAAGAATTTCAAAAAAGCATGATTTTCATACCCAAATCTAAATTTCGTTGACAGTGTATATTTTTTCTAAAATTATATAAGTTTAATTGTTTTATCTAAAAAAGAAAAAAAAAATTATATTGCTTGAGAATTGTATGATGCGCACATGCAAAATGATTTTTTAGAAAAAAATACAAATAAACTAAAAAACAAAAAACGAACAGATAGTGAAGAATTTTAATGAATATTTCCCTTATTATACTGTTCTGCTGTGAACTGATCGTTAAGACACTGCTCCCAGCAGATCACCGAAGTCAAGCATCACTGTCTGCAGTCAGTGCGCGGGTGGGTAACCACTTTGATCAGCCTGTGATAGTACTGAGGGTGCACGGTATCGATCCTATTTAAACTGTTCCACAGTAAAATACTCTACTTCGCGCAGGTCATCGGGTTACTAAAGCGGTGATGCCATCCTCTCTGCAGATGATCAAAATCGCGATGGCATGTCTTCGGATCATCCTCACGGATGTTTCCCAGGCCGTCGCCAACAGCCCATTGTGCAGTTGTTGTGCGGCGCAAATAATTTGCAACTACAACCCCTCAATATACCTCCCCCTCCATTTTCTGGTTGTACTCCTCATCTTGTTCAACATGAAGAAAAGGTTGCTTGAATCATATTCTTGTTACCCTACTCAGAATTATAGACTTTTTACTTTTTGTGTCATGACAATGGTAATATAAGTATGATATTGCATTTTAAATCAAGAAGGAAAACTGTTTTAGTAAAAAATTTAAATACAGAAAAATACTTTTTATGGAATTCACCTTCTTTAGGTCAATATGGGATTCCAAATTAAGTAAATTATGTTTGTTTGTTTTTTATCCCTTTCCTTTTTCCTATTTTTATTATCTTTTATTTTTGTCTCCCACTTAGTTTTTAAAATCTTTTTTATCCTGTTACATTGAGTGCATTATAATGTCTGAGTTTATTTGGAAGGAAATACTTTACATTAATTCGTTCTTAAGTAGAATGATAATTGTATAGTTTTAAATAACAAACATAGATGGCAGCATTAAACTTTTTAACGAAAATTGAAAATAAGTTAGATTTGAATAATCGACCACATAGTCATACACTTATTTTTATTTTTATTATACATTTACTATAAAAATCAATTTAGAATTTAGAAATTCGCTATAACACTTAATAATATCCTTTCTTCTTTCTTTCTAATTTTAATAATTCATTTTAATAACCATATATTAATCAATCATTGAATTTTCTAAATTGCATGAGATGTTAATTTTATTGATAATCAATACAATATCAATAAATTCAATGCATCGATGCAATACAGCCTTTTTCTTTCAGTGCTGTTTAATTATTTTTATTTATCAGCCTACTTTAGATCAAAATTTATAAATACGCTTTCAAAAAATTTATTAATTTAAAGTTTTGTTATATTTAAATAGTTTTACTAAATAAGCATAGATGGCAGCACGTAATATTTAAAATTTAGTTGCCAAGGTTAGAAGATTCCATATGTAAATCTCAAGTATTTCTGATATAAAATATAAAATAATTCAGTCACAAAGTTGGAACAAATCAGACAAATTTGTGTAAATTTGTTGTTTAACTTCAGCCATCTATTTACTTCTTAATTTTAAAAATAAAAATAATAAAAACTTAGGAAAGCTTCTTTATCTCAAAGACAAACTATTAATTTCTTTGTAACATTAATACGAAATTCAAATTCTTTCAAAATATTTCAATTAAGAATTTTAGTTTTAAAAATCTGTATATCTTCGAATATTTTACTAAGCCATCTTTATCTTGCCACATTTACTGTACAGCCTCAAAAATATCCAAAGTTTAAATCTATTACTTTATTTATTTATTTTATTTATTTATTTTACTCTTTTATTTATTTTTTTATTTTTAAGCTGCAATTATCAATTTAGAAAAGCAATCTTCTATTACTCTAAAAAATTGAATCATTCGAAACATTTTAACAAATTTATGTTAACTATTTCTGGGTATTTTGGTAGATCGAATTAATTTATTTAATTTTGTAATATTTTCTCGCTAGAGTAAGAAATAAATTAAATAAACTTATAGTGGGAAGGATAAACGCTGTTTTAAAGAAACAAATAATACTTAACAAGTGACAACTAATTAAAAAAATATTTAAATTGTATGAACATTCATCAAATATACAGTTTTCTTCCTGTTTTTATTAAATTATTCGATGCAATAATTTTAAAATTCCAAATGTTTAGTTTTTTCAAAAAACCAGAATGACGTTTTTTGGAATGTCACCAAGAACTGACGTAGGCAAAAATACAGAACATCGAAACTTGAAAATGCAAGTTAATAAACATACCATTAAAAAGAGCAAGCAACCACAAAATCTCAGCACGATTATGAAATGGCCTAAAAGTAAGAACTCACCGAATCTCGCCAAATTTACAACTACAAATTGCAGAATTTATCGCCCTACAAAACAGCGCCAAATCCACCTCGTATTGAATAGTATGATTAAAATAAAACTTACTTTATTTGCATTGCATCGCCTGACGAATATATCTGAAAGATAGCCAGCCAACAAACGTCCGATAAATCCGCCAACTTCTACTGTACTAGTAAAGGCACTACCTAAATTTGCATAAAAACATATAAATTGCATAAACTAAAGAAGCACGTTGAAAAAATTATTTTAGTTAAAATAATTATCTTGTTTAAAATAATTTTGGGTTATTTTACTACTTCCTTCACAGTCTTACGTTAATCAGTAAACAAAATATATGGAGAGAAATTAATATTCGGTTTATACATTTTCCTTCTGGTTACATTCTGTTTATTGGTTAACACATTTGGGTACTTGCAACTCGAGAAAAGGCGCAGTGGTTATGCCTAACTATGTGATTGAAATGTTATTTAATTAGATGCCTGTAGGCGACGTCACCCATGTGTCAAACCTGATTATCTTCTGAATCGACAAATACTATGCTTTTTCTACGATGACGTCACTTGCAAGTATCCAATGGGATACCTGCATATGACGTAGTGAGGATATCTGGATCTTGATTGGTTGTTGAAGCGTGGCATTTATTTATGTTAACAACTGTTTGTTCTATTCTATTTAGAGAAAGCCGAGCCCGCCAAGCAGCAATTCTCTTAAATGATACATTCTATATTCTTACACAAGGATTCTTTCACAAAGATTTCAAATTTTTCACTATATATTTCCTTCTTAACACAAACACAGGCATTAAGCCATGTAGAAAATAAACAGACTAATTATGCATCGAGTTTGCCAGGTACACAAAACAAAAATACATCACCGTTATAATAAAATACATAAACAAATAATAAATCTAAGTTAAGTAAAAGACTTAGAAAGAATTATATATCAATAAATTCAATGTGTGACACGGCATTGTACTTAATTAACTTTAAGTTAATTAACATTCTAACTTATGTGGAGAAACTTAGCTCAACTTTAGTACTCCATTTTGCTCAAAAACGATCAGCCGCTGCTGACGTCATAAGTCACATGTGTATATACATGGTCTTCTTCTTGAAGTGTGAAAGTATCCAATTACGGTTTTCAACTAATGTTGCATTGCGCAAAATTATTTATTAAGCTTTACTTTCTTTCTTAAACGAAAATAAAACGTGTTTTAAAGAGACAAATTGCTCAAATAGTTATTCAATCCGGAATGAATAAACAAAAGAAATTGAAAACGAAAGATGCATCTGTTAATAGAAATTTCATTTACTTCAAAATTAAATTGGAAAAAAAGTCATCACATTTCACCGACTCAAATCGAGATGCGCATTCCAAACAAAGACCAACAACGCATGAACGAAGAAAAAAACAAAACAAAAGGTTTTGAAAGAAAAAACACATGCCAGCGAAAACGGAAAAAGAGAATGATTGGAAGAAAATAAAACAGGAATAGCCAAGAAGATGACACTGGTCAAAAATAATTCAGTACAAAATACATTTCAAAGCAGAATGAAAGGTTGGAGTGGCACTGAAGTCACATCAGCTTATCTTGATGCGTTGACAGTCTTGTTTCATTCATAAGTGTACCGAATCCCTTGTTATCATTTCTTAATATTATGGGCTCCATACTCCCTATATTTCACATATTCTACCATGATTTACCCTTTTCGGACACCATCGTCTCATCGGCTAGTGCGGTTTTTCTTGTTCTATTTACCTCATTTTTTTTCGTTGGCTACTACCTTTTTTCAAACCACTTTTATAATTTCACATTCACGTATTACGTGTTGCTGCTTTCGAGGAATGAGCTCTTTGCTTTAAATGCTCATTTGGCTGTTTTTTTTTTCTTTAATATACCACTTTGAATCATAACTATGTGAAAATGAATCTATATTCATTAGAAAATGAATCTAATATATACTATAATTTTACTCAAATGCAGCTACTTTAAAAAAAGAAATTTTAAGAATAATAATAATGATCTTAAATGTAAAGATTTTACCTTGAGCAAGAGATAGGCCACGTTCTTGCTTCATATACAACTGTCCCCAATCTACTAAAGTACTCTTGGTGCAAAATACAATCATAAAAGTTAAGGTAACTAGCCATAAGAAAGGATCTTTCAATAAAGTTTTCATTGATACTGAAGCATTTGAGCCTAAAATGAAACAGTAATAATTAAAGTTAAAATTTTATATCCTTTTATACAAAAATCACATTTTCATACAGTGCAAGATAATAAATATAATCTATATGCAAGTCTTGACATAGGAAATAAAATAAAAGTACAAACAGAATTTCTATCATTAAAAAAACCTTTTAAAATAAAGGAAAAACAATTGCAATAAAAAACTGAAAAAAATAACGTGTAAATAGTGTACCATTCTATTAATCGATCAATCTTACGTATAAGTCACGTAAGAATATTTCATTTATTAGACCAACTAAATTTCATATACTGTTGCAATTAAATAATTTTCATAACTAACAGCTAATTCTGCATTTTTCGAGCATTTTATACTATATATAGGACTTTTAGATTTGTAAAAAAATTTTAGATATACTATTACTTAGAACGTATTTCCTCCGTTTATTCAAAAATCTTACAGTTCCTTTCGTACGAAAATTTTAATTTTATCTGCAAAAATGTAGATGGTAAGTTAGTTTGTTAGGTATTTAATTGTGTTAGGTAAGTTAGTTAGGTATTTAATTGTGTCATTATTTTTAAGATAGTTTATTTATTACTGTTTTTCAATTTCTGGTCGTTTTATAAATAAACATGACACAGATAATTGCTTAAAAAAATCCGTACAATTAAGGCTTTATGTAATATTAGTTGCAGTGTTTTGCAAAAAAAAAAAAAAATGCTTTCTTACTTTGTTGTTTGGGGATTTTTTCTGCTGTATTCGTTTCTTTTGCCTCACTATCAAAAGACGTCTTTATCAAAAACATGAGAACTATACTCAAAACTACGGAATACGCACCTGAAAAAAAGAATACATATTTTAGTATAGATGAAGAATGAAACTAAAATAAAACAAAACTTTAAAAAAAATAGGATTGTTCTGTATAAATCTTATTTTGTAAGAAGGCACAACACATGGAAATTATGACTTCCTTTCGCGTCTCGGTAATAATTTTAGTTGAGAAAGCTAGCTTCACAGCAGTTTCTGTGTTCTTTACTCACTGTACCCACATGCACCCTCTTCATAACTAACAATTTGTCCTTAAAATAAAATGTCAAGAGCCTATTTATAATTAATTTTAAATAAATTGTTAATATGTCCTTAAACTGTTAATTCGTTGGCAGTTCAAAGATCTATTAATGGGTTAAGATATTGCTAACCTGCATTTAAAATTAAACACAAACAGAATGTTTTAAGGTTACATTCTATTGTAACTATACTCAATTTTTATTAATAAACGCTTGCACAACTTCGCATGAAAAAATCCCTGCGATATATTTTGCAACCAACTCCGTAGTCTTTTAATTTTGAACCAAGCCCAAAAGACAAAGTAACTCCTGGAACAAGCATTATAATCAACTAGTCTTCGTGGAAGACTTTTTTAATGGAACTAGCACGCATTTTCGTTACACTACACGGAGGATGAGACTGCAAAAACCTCTAATTGTAAGTCCTACGGCAAGGGGATTCTACCCATAGAGTTGAATAGCCGTGAGTCGAGAGCAGAAAAATAGAGAAATAGAAACTCCGAGTAATAGAGAAGTTTACAGCTTATATGCTCGATACCCACATATTTACGTACGTATGTTCTGAACTAACTGCGCATGTCTGTTACACATATCCCTTAATTGTCTCTCGCACACCTATTTTAAAAGCTACGTATTACGTATACTAAATCATTTGAAAGATAAAACCACTGAACTGCATTGAGGTCTAAAAACTAGAGCTTGCTTGAAGAACATAAGGAACCTAAGGGTACAGAATAATACAGAAAAAAACTGTAAAAAGCAAGCACCCTAAGAGAACAGAATAATAGAGAGACTAGAAATTTTCACGGACCATACCCGTACACTCACGTATGTAAATTATGAACAGAATGCGCCTGTCCGCACACATTTTCCTAAAATTGCACTGAAATACAGGAGGATGTCTGAAAGTGCTGCATTGTGTGCACTGCAATGTGCATTATATGTATTAACAAAAAATACTGCTGCATCCATTCACTGTGGTCAAGGACTCTACAAAGTACGTTGTGACTCATCCATGTCTGAATGTTCTGATCTGTATTTGCTGCATTATGTCTGCAAGTGATGGTTCATCGATTTGATGTAATCAAGGACTCGACAAATTGTGTTGTTAGTAATTTTATGGAATAAATTGTCATTAAAATATTTATAATAAAGAGTTTTTAGTTTATGAAATAGGTTTGAAGGACAAAGATTTACCATGGCAATAACATATTAAATGTAGCATACACATAGAGCCATAGTTATTATAATTTTAATTAAAATGGAAAATAACTAAATACCTGCCGAAAAGATGCCAGCTGTAGATCCAAAGTTCATAACTAGGTATGCCGTCAAGTATGGTGATATGCATCCAGAAATGTTGTTGCTTGCAGATAATAAGCTCCATAATGTCCCAAAATTTGCTGGATCAGCTCTCTATTCACAGAAAATGCACCTGCTTTACAAAACACAATGAATCACTCCCTCTACATCTTTAAAATATTTACTATTTACTATGTTTATTACAATGCTTATGTTTATGTACCATGTTATGTTTATTACCATTATTAATATTTACTATGGTTAGTTTGTAGAAAGGAAAAAAAATCTGCCTAGGCACCGGATGGTATTTTTGCCCATATATTAAGCTGTAACTCAATCATGTCTGAAAGTTCTGTTCTGTATGAGTGCATCCATTTGATGTAAATCCATCGACCCATTAGCAAAATACTAAAAAGTAGGGCTCGGAATTAACGGTAGTCCGTTGGTTCAGGACCATTAAAATTTTACTCGGACCATCATAAAGTCATCATGGTGGTCTCCCAGACCAGCAAAAGGATAGAAATGAATGGTATGCTGCTTTAGCATTATGATTTCGGTTTCCTGTTTTGGTCTTTGTTTTTTGACACAGATTTCTATTATAATTCCTTCACATATTTCCTCACAATGGTGATATAACACTTATTCTGTAGTGTAATTTTTCATTTAAATTCACTTTAATTTTTTTAAGAGAAATCTAACCTGTCGGACCAATGAAAAAGTGAACGGACTACTAATTAGCTGTCCTTCGGGACAGCGACTAAATTTTTTTATTTCTGCTCCTTCCAGAAATTACCTTATCAAACTTCCTTTTTTTAAATTCCCACAACAGCTTTTAGACATATATAACTACAAGAATTTTTTAGTCATTTCTCCAAAACTCAGTTTTCCCAATCTAAACCAGCCAGCTAGCGAACTGAATTTCATTGAAAATGGAAGAGGTAAAAAGGGAAACAATCTATAAACTAATTCATTAAGCATGAAATGTCTAAATCATTTTATATGAGAGTTCTGTTCTTTTGAAAACTTGCTAATTCCATTTCTTACTTGTCGAAGTATTTTGGATAAGGCAGGCCATCCACACCCTTGAGCCAGTCCATTCAGAAACCAAAATGTGCAAAAGGCAAACACAGAAGACGATGTTGAAAACAGCAGAGTGAGTGATCCAGTCAAAAACAGACCAACAGCAAACATCTTCAGAGGATTCAATCTGTCTGACAGCATCCCGAAGGTAAATTTGCTGAAAGACATCGCTACATTTTGACAGCTTAAGATCAGACCTATAAAACAAATTACATTTCAGTCATCACAATGAATATTTCAATATTGACTTGAATATTTCGGAGAAATATGACTTTTTTACGTGTTGTGATTGTAACCAACGTATCTCAAAAGTATAAAACGCTTTTTTTTTCTAGAAGTTTTAACATCAAAATGTAATGCATCTGTTCAAATCAGCAATACCACAAAATTATTTCTGAATAAACTGAAGATTCGTCATTAGCTCTCTTGATCACCGAATTAGGATCTAATGACACTTGGGATTTGTTAGTTTGCAAGATTTATACATACAACGACACCAAGCACTTATATGTTTTCGAACTATCCAAGCCCTTTCAATTTTTCCTCCTCCCCCCCCCCCCAAAAAAGGGGACAACACTTACTAGTACTAATAATAATATTTTTAGTAATTAACACGTTCACTCTGGGGTGACCCATCGGTGGGTCACGCTAGATTGTCTCATCGGGCGGCGCACCGGAGTAAAAACTGGTAACAAATAAATTTAATTTTTTAGTTTTTTTTCCGGGAATAATAAAAATCAATAACTACCAATTGTTTTTAACGGATGCAATTTTTACATTGAACTGCTTCTTCGCCGTGATAAATTTCCTTACAGTGAATTGTTATTGTTGAGAATAGATTAACTCCTCTCGAATATTATCTAATATTGAAATAGTTCATCTACCAGTATTTTCTGTTTTCCGTCCCGCTTTCAGGCGCAACACCCGCGTGAACGCGTTAATCAGTTACGAAATTCGTAATTCCGTAACAAAGTAATATTTTTCGCCTGATTCAAAAAACTGGTGATCTACTTCAGTAATCATAATTGTATAGACCTATGTACAAGATCACCAGAAATACATTTAGGTTTGAATTGCATAGATCTATATGCAAGATCGCAACAAAAATATTTTGGTTTGAATTATTGTATAAACCTATGTGCAAGATAACGAGAAAAATATTTATGCTTGAATTATTGCATAGAACTGTGTGCAAGATCACGAGCAATATATATTGTATATATAATATATCACGAGCAATATAGGTTTGAATTGAGAAGGTCTATGGGCAAGATGACAAGAAAAATTTTTAGGTTTCAATTATTGTACAGACCAATGAGCAAAATAATGAGCAATATATTATAGTTTGTATCTTATTAAACCAAAATAATATACAAAATACTCAATTTTAATAATAATATATTATAAATATACAACACGTTAATTTTAAGTGAACTTCCAATTATGCAAAATATTTCAAAACTTAGAATTTTCTGTAAAATTTAAATATCTAAATAACTCATAAAAAATAAAGCTATTAAGAAAAGTAAAACACAGTTTTATCTTTCTTTCATAGTATTAAGAAATTATGCCTAGATAAATTTTATCTCTTTTAAAAGAATAAGTTGATAAGATTTACTGAAGATTTCTAACAAACATATCTACTCATTGTTAAGCTTCAAAATAAATTTTAATATCTCATCTTGAAGCTTTGTTATATGATTAATAAACAAAAAAATTTTCAGTGCTTAAAAGAATTTGAAGACATTCAAAGAAAACATAATACAATATCAAAATGATAAAATACGCATGCATAAAACAGTAATCAAGGTATCTGAAATTCTGCGCAAATATAAATTTCGTCTGAATTGCTTCATGTTAATTTTAATAATAATATTCAAGAATTATAGCGTAATCATTTTTCAGCATTATAGCGCCATTTCAATTATGCATGATAATAATAATTCATAAATACAACTTGTTTATCAAGTATGTAAATGGTTTTTGACGATGCTTTTATGTAGTTGATATAACACGGCATTGTAAATAATATTTGAGTATTTAATTAGATGCACTATTTTAACCCCTTAATGTTTGCATAATTTTGAAGAAAACGTTTTCGAAANAAGAAAAATGTTTAGGTTTTAATTATTGAATAGACCTATGAGCAAAATCACGAGCAATATATTTTAGTTTGTATTTTATTTAACCAAAATAATATACAAAATACTCAATTTTAATAATAATATATTGTAAATATGCAACACCTTAATTTTTTTTAAAAAATTAAGGTGAACTTACAATTATGTAAAATATTTCAAAACTTATAATTTTCTGTAAACTTTAAATATCTAAATAACTCATATAAAAAATTAAAGCTATCAAAAAAAGTAAAGCACAGTTTTATCTTTCTTTCATAGTATTAAGAAATTATGCCAAGATAAATTTTATCTCTTTTAAAAGAATAAGTTGATAAGATTTACTAAAGATTCTTAACAAACATATCTACTCATTGTTAAGCTTCAAAACAAATTTTAATATCTCATCATGAAGCTTTGTTATATGATTAATAAACAAAAATATTTTCAGAGCTTAAAAGAATTTGAAGGCATCCAAAGAAAATATAATACAATATCAAAATGATAAAATACTCATGCATAAAACAATTATTAAGACATCTGAAATTCTGCTAAGATATAAATTTCGTTTGAATTGCTTCATGTTAATTTTACTAATAATATTCAAGAATTATAGCGTAATCATTTTTCAGCATTATAGCGTCATTTCAATTATGCATGATAATAATAATTCATAAATACAACTTGTTTATCAAGTATGTAAATGGTTTTTGACGATGCTTTTATGTAGTTGATATAACACGGCATTGTAAATAATATTTGAGTATTTAATTAGATGCACTATTTTAACCCCTTAATGTTTGCATAATTTTGAAGAAAACGTTTTCGAAAATGTATATTTTTTTATTCAAGAAAATTTGTATAAAACTAATTGTATGTACCATACGTGTAATCATTTTGAAATTTTGGGTTGATTGAGTTAATGCATTTGGTGAGTGATTAATTAATTAATTCGATTTAACTCAGAAATTAAAAATGACTGCATATATTGTACATACAGATAGTTTTAATTATTTTTATTTAATGAGGGCGCCACTGGCCATGACTGCCCCCGAAATACTCGCACAGGATGGTGACCTCGAAGGTGATCATCTCATCCCTTGTCGAGTTTCAAGAAACATTCACTAGTGGACCGCTATTGGGAGGCCAGGAGTCTTTTGCATTCATGGACTACCGCTATGACTGCTTCTTTCTTCTCAATGTTTTTTTTTCTGTATGTTTTTTTCTCTACATGGTTGTTTGCATTTATTGCCTTTTAATCTTGCCATTAAAAATAATTATTCGAAGAGTGCTGACATCTACGATAGTTTAAAATCAAACTATTGCTGAACACATTACATATAATCTGGTACCGCAAACTGATGTTATATATTTAGAAACAAGCATGCTTCCGGGCATGATAAATGAATTATTTTTAAACATTTTGATGCTCTAGTTTTAATTTGAACACTCCAGCCCCGAAATATCACGGGCATGAGAAATAGGAGGCAAAATTTCATCCCGTCATTTTGACGGAAGCGTGAAATGAAGGGGTAAAAAATGACATTTTTAGAATATTAGCAGGCAAAAGCAAAAATTTTCTTCAGTCAAATTTTTTAAGATAAATTTCTAAATTGTTTTCCGTATCTTTATAATTTATTTATATTTTCAAATAAAACCTAAAATTTCGATAACGACCTTTGGAAAAATTACAAAAGGACTTAAATGATTTAGCACCTATTTTAAGAATAAAATAAGTTATAAAAAATACTGCTGTCTAAAAATCGTTAGATTTTACAAAGAAAATTCGTATAATTTACACCTTAAGACCTCGCGCAACGTAAAAAGCAAATCACATTTGCACCCAAAACTTGTAGTCCATTTCCTAGCGAGTTGCAAGTCGACTCCAATATGTATTGTACACTTTTAAAAATTTACTCGTGAAAAAAATTCTTTAAAGGATTTTTTTTAAGATGCAAATTTATGAATATACTTTTTAAAATTGCACTCATAACATTAAAATTAGGCAATAAAACTTCAAAATTCGATGAAGTTTTCAGAAAGAGCTAAAAGCTAAATCCAAAGTGAATCCTAAACCTTCATTTCAAAGCGTGACTCTTGTAGAATTTATTAAAGTGGAAATAATGTAGATTACGCTACGTTTTCCCGTCATAACATTTAAATTTAGTCACATTCTCACCTGGATCTGGAGATTTTAATTGACAGCTGTTTTCACGCCAACTCTTGGCACCATTTTGAAAAATGACTCATATAGAAAATATAATGTACAAATAATGTTGACAAATATGTCCGACAAAAAATTCAGATTCACTCACATTTTCGTCTGGAATTAAAACAGGTTAGATTTTCAGACAGGTTACAGCTCAACTCCAAAAGATTTTAATAAAGATCATTGGAGTTTAAAAACTTTCCTTTTTTTTCTACACAATTCAAAAAATAAGGAAAAAGTAAATTGTCAAAGATTTCTGTAACTTTTCCATAAATACATATTGCTCTAGGTAAAATTTGAAATAATAATAATTTAACATTAATAATATTAGGTTTTTTCGCTTAGGATAATAATTTAAAGGAAATATATTATAGGTTGAATAGGCGAGTAAGAGCTACATTGATTAAGTGAATATTATAGTTAAGTTTTTTTTTAATACTATAGATTAACAGGAGCATTTTACCACGCATTCAACAAAATTGTTATAATTGAAACAATTTTAATCAAATGATCGATAAGTCATCAATTTAAAACCTAAAAAAGAAACAAATAAACTGATTTGATATAACACGTTTCTTTTTTTTTTTTTTCATTTTGATTCGTCTTTAGTTTCGAAACTAGTTTAATTTTTTCTTTATCGACATTTTTTTTTAAAAAATTTCCTAAGTTCTATATATATTTCTCTACTTCCTTGTACAATTCCTAACAAGTAATTAACCCTTACCTAATTAAGATTTTACTTATAAAAAAAGGCATTCTGAAGTAAGAAAAAAAAAACACTCCAATATCATGAAAAAAATTTCTTTTATCACGATTTTTTTTTTTTCAAAAAAATCTTGGTTAGAAAAAAAGTTTTAAAAAAATAAGATAGTTCTTACTTGAACACTTCATATTTTTTTTAAGTAATCTTTTTAAATAAAATAAAGCATGCCGCTATTTCTTTTTCTTAACCGAAATAAATTGAATAGAATCGATATGCATCAAAACCAGTTTGATACGGAATATAATTCTTAAGTCACAAAAAAAAACTAAAATTATCTTAAATTGTCATACAGATTTTTTATCAGCACGAAAAAAAGAACATTTATTTAAATTAAATTTCTTTAGTGAAATATATTCTTTGCATCCCCCGTAAAGTTACGAAGAAAATGGATTGATTCCAAACATTGGTTCATTCACTAACCTTCCTTTCTTCCAACTTTATCTATGTCTATCTAATTTTATATCACTAAAAGAAGAAAAAAAGTAATTTCATTGTGCCGTTGCCACAAATTTTACCTGTGAAAATAAATTTATGGCTCAATTGTCAAAGAATAGATTTCAACGAGACTTATGCGTTATACAAAATTAGACTTATGCATTCCAATTAAAGTATTAACTTACCAAATGAATAGTTATAAACTTATTGTGATCAAGGTAAAATACAGTATACGTAACACGCTTAGCGCGATTATTCTTTTATAACCGACGTTGAGCAGCCGACCCAATTTTACGGGTTTAAGACTACTAATGTTCAACTCCGTAGCCTTGTAATTTTGAACCCAATCCAGAAGACAAGGGAACTCCTGGATCGAGTATTGGGAGAAATTTGACTTCGTGGAGGACTTTTTGTTGGATCTAACCAGCATTCGCGTAACATGGAGAGGAAGACCACGAGATCCTCCCACGGTTAGCCTGACGGCAAGGGGACTCTCACCCATGATCCGTCTACCACTGAGGATATTTCACATCAGCACTGTGGTCGGCGCAAGCCGGACGCGGAATTCGTATCGACTGGGATTCGAACCCGGTTCGCCGCATTGAAAAGGCGAACGCTCTATTCCCTGAGTCATCGCGGTTCTTAGCGCGATTTAGAAAAATGTCTCCAAAACTTCGAAGCGATGCATTGTAGCTTGTCGCCAAACTGTTGGTATACTGGGCAAATGTATGCCGGATGCAGCTCTTAACCTTAAAAAAATTAGTGTAGTGTATACCGGGCAAATGTACACCAACAATGGCACTAAAAGAGAGCAGAACTAAAACTGAATTGTTTAAGGTTGTCGAAGGCTCCGTTGTTATATGAAATGATACTTTTCCGTGAATAATATACTAGTTTTATTATTGCTGTTAGTTTGCAACTGTTACTCATGACTGCAGTGACAAATTTAGCCTATCTAAAGCCAGCGCTGTCTACGTTTATATTGAAAGGGCGCAAAACCTCAATATGGAAAAAAAGCCCCAGTTTTGTGAAAATGGAAAGAGTTTGCGATCTAATTTCTTTAATATTTCAAAACTTACTCCAATGCTGTATTACCAGTGCTCATACAAATTTGCAGAAACTAAGAATAAGGGAATGATTTTGATAATTTTCATCTTAGTGGAAAAATGTCTTAGGTATGAGAAATGTCTTAGTGAAAAAATTTATTCTTAATTGTGTAGGAACGATATCTTAATATAATTTGCCAAGCTCTGTTATTTGTTTTAGAAGATGGAACAACTTGAGTTTTCACCCCTTTACTGTGCAATTTCCTTGAAGTTACTTTTTGGGGAAAATTCCCAAATGGAAAATCACTTCTCAGGAAGATTAATCAGAATAGGAATTCTGGAAGATCTTTGGTTCAGAATATTACTTTTCATGCATAATGAAATATCGCTCAGAGAACTTAAACTGTAAATGTTTACATATTTTTTAATTAAACTATCACATCAAACTACACTTAATGAAACAAAAAATTATCAATAAATGAAATAACACTAAAAAGTACATTAGTATTGCAGTAAAGAAAAAGAAGGAAGCTTACAGTTCCGAACTCGTTATACAATACAATACGATACGATACGATACGATACAAATGATCAAGTTTTTAAGATTATCGAATAATAATCCACCAATAATTTTAGGAACCATGAAAAATAATGATGATGATGATGGAAATGAAATGTATGGAAAATAAATGATTGCCTTCATAAATGAAAATTATGAATGCAAACTAAAGATTTATCATAATGAATTAACGTTTAATGCAACACATTATATCGAATTTTTCCATAACATGAATATATAAAGAAAAACTTTTTATCAGATATATTAAGGCTGTATCTTAGAGTTTTTTCGACAAAAAAACACAGTGAAAATGCCGTAAATGCTAAGGAAATCTTTAATTTTAAGTAATACATACTACCTTACCGAAGGCAAAGCCGAAACTTGAAAGCGAAAAAAAATTCCCAATAATAATAATATAAAATAAAAACTGTTTCAAATAATCATAATCTATGTTTTTTTTTTTTTTTTTTTTTTTTTTTTTTTTTTTTTTTTTTTTTTNTTTTTTTTTTTTTTTTGTAGTTTTGTTTCTCACCTTTATTTTTCCATTTTTCATTGCCAACTCTAAGTTTCATATTTCAAATCAAGTTTCCTTCTCCTCATTCACGTCTGGCAAGTCATCAAAATAGGCGTCTTTTTTTTTTTCTTTTTGGACGCTTGAAACAGATCTGTTTTTTCAATTTGTATACTTCAGAAGCAAACGAATGAAGTTTTTTATCGGGCGAGTAATAATAAAAATTATTTTTTAAAAAAAAATTGCGAATTAATTGGCATTTTAGCAAGATTTTTCCTTTTAAATTAAAGTCAATGAATAAAGTTCACTTTTTGCATTTTTCATACGTCCAAACAAAGCAGTGTAAGCAAAAAATTTCAAATATTAAATAAGATCAGAAATACTTTACATTTTCAAAAAAAAAATTTGCTTATCTTTACATTGATATTTTGCCCAGTTTTCAGAATTAGCTTTTTGATCTCAGTCTATTTACCTTTCAATACACCTGCTTGTCAGCTAATTACAAAGTATGGCTTAGTGCTGTCTAAAAATGCTCAAAACTTAACCGTTATTAACAACTGCTACAAATTCGCAACAGTTTACCATTTGCCGCAGATACACCGGTCTCCCTTTTATATATTTTTCTTTGTGAAGCTCTAATTAGAAGAAAAAAATTTTGGCACTTTCAAATAATAAAAAAACAGTCTAATAGTTACTAAATAAAATCTGCTAAATCATTAGAATTATATTTGCACTAAAATGTGAAATCCAAATAGATAAAATCGAAATTTGTTTTCATTCATATTCAAAAATGCATCAATAATTGATTTGTAAATTCCAATGCTGAATAACTGTTTCTCTTAGATCTAAATAAAGACACCGGTGCTTCATGCCTTATTTCATAACCATAAATTATTAAAATACTAAATGTCATTATACGAAAAAATAAATAATTGGAATTACATTTGCACTAAAATATGAAATCCAAATAGATAAGATTGAAATTTTTTTTTCATTCATATTCGAAAACGTATCAATAATTGATTTGCAAATTCCAATGATGAATAACTGTTTCTCTAAGATCTAAATAAAGACACCGGTGTTTCATGCCGTATTTCATAACCATAAATTATTAAAATACTAAATATAATAATACGAAATAAATAATTGGAGTTATATTTGCACTAAAATATGAAATCCAAATAGATAAGATTGAAATTTTTTTTTCATTCATATTCGAAAACGTATCAATAATTGATTTGCAAATTCCAATGATGAATAACTGTTTCTCTAAGATCTAAATAAAGACACCGGTGTTTCATGCCGTATTTCATAACCATAAATTATTAAAATACTAAATATAATAATACGAAATAAATAATTGGAGTTATATTTGCACTAAAATATGAAATCCAAATAGATAAGATTGAAATTTTTTTTTTTCATTCATATTCAAAAACGTATCAATAATTGATTTGCAAATTCTAGTGCTGAATAACTGTTTCTCTAAGATCTAAATAAAGACACCGGTGTTTCATGCCGTACTTCATAACCATAAATTATTAAAATACTAATATAATAATACGAAATAATGTAAAAAGTATGAAAAATATGTTTAATGAAAAATTTACATCAAAGAGTAGCATTAAGCTAAAGAAGCATTCTTATATATTCATAAGGACATTAGAAAGATAGTTTTAAGGACAAATAAGACTTTGCCTTGGCAATAAGTTTAAAAATCAAAATTTAAAATTTGACTCACCAGCATGGCTCGTTTCCAAACCTTCTTCGATCAATTTGGGCATCGATAAAGCTACACATTTTCGATTGTAGGCATAGGCCATGTAACAAACAAACAACGTTAAATAGAAACTCTCCATGTTTGTTACCGAATGTCGTCGGAGACAAACGTACTATAAATATTCAGCTACTCTCCGATTCTAAGTAGTAAAAATAGTAACTTATCTTCATGGGATATGACGTTTTATCACTCAGAGAAGTAAGCACAGTGCTTCAGAAATACAATGCAGCTGATCAGATATGATGAAATAATTCCTCTTGGCTGTTTTAAAAGCGCTCTAAGGTTGGGTCACTAACTTGCCTTCACCTTCTTAAAATTATTATTCTTGAAAAATATGGTGGAATCATAAATTCAGTGAGTTTCGTCAATTTAGAACTCGGGCTGGAGAGTTTTTTTCTGAAAACTAAAACTTTTTCTATATCAGTGAATGTATTTACTGTTGCCTATGTTTACTCAAAATGTCTACTCAAAATTTCGTTTGATATGCAATTTTAAAAGGAACGAAATAAGATAAATTTTTTCATAAAAAATTAAAAAAGAAATTGAATTTTATATTATAAAGTTAGAGATTACAATTTAAGTTTTGAAATAAGATTAAATTGAAAATATTCGAACAACTGAAAGCAAAAGAAATTTTTAAGAAATGAAAAATAATTGAATTTCGTAATGTAAACAACAGGGTTGGTATAACTTAAATCATCAATTAAAACGCAATTTCAATCACTTGATTTTTCTTTAAAAAAATCTTTTATTTAAATCAATTGTGATTTTTTTAATAAAATTATTGATTTAAACCAATTGATTTCTTTTAAATAAATCATTTAGTCGAAAATACTTTTTATAAATATATTCTTGTGTGATTCATGTTAAAGTCTGACTGTGTTAATAATGGAAGTTTTATTTTATTCAAAGAAAATTGAAAAGGTAAATTACTATATTTCAAAATGAACTGATCAATAAATAAAATTAAAGGCTAAATAAGGGTAAGAGCAACGTTAACCTGATAAATTATGACTTTTATTAGCTGTATGTAAATAACTTGCAGGTAATAAACATATTTCAATTGTACCCATTTAGTTTCATGTTTATTTGAATACTTAAAATGCTTTTAAATCATAGTAAATACGTAGTTGGTGTTAACCAATATTGAAGAAAGACTTGTTCTGTCCAAAGAAATTTACCGTATTTTTTCCCCTTAAATATATTTTGATCTAAACTAAATTATACTTCATTGGAAGTTTAATAAATCACCTCCCAGTCTATAAAATTTAGGATGTTTAACTTGTAATAGAATAATAAAACGAGATTTTGTTGATTCCGTGATTAGTTTGTAGGAATTAAAATACAATTTTTGAATATTTAGCTATTGGCTATGTTATAGTTGTTAAATAATACTAAGTATTGTTAATATTTTATCACATGATTTGGCTGGTAAATATCAAAAAAAAAAATTTTTGATAAAAATTTTCCGATTTTTGAAAAAAAGAAAATCATGAACTTAGCTAACCATAAATAATAGAGAACTAGTAAACAACAATATTAGCAACTATATTTAATATCTCAATAGAGACAATAATAAAATGTAAAAAGTTTCCTTCTCAATATACAATCTAATAGAATAAAAAAAAACTCAATATAAACAATAATAGAATGTGAAAATTCTCAATTCAATCTCAATATAAAACTCTTAATAAATACATAACGTACAAATAAAAAATTTCTTTTTTATGAATTTTGAACTATTGTCGTTGAGAAGGAAACAGAATAAAAATAAATAAATGCTTAAAATACTTATATTATCATTTAAAAAAGAAATTAAGTATAAATATTACTGCTGTTGATACAACAATAACTTTAAATTTATTAAGAGTCTTAAAAATGAAATCTTAAAGTGAACCAAAAAAAAATTTTTTCTAACAGATGAGCCTGAAAGAGAGTAAAAATTAAATTATTGTCCAAACATTCCAAATCATGATTAATATTTGTTATGAGGCATGGTGGCTCAGGGGTTAGCGTGTTCGCCTTCTAGTGAAGTGAACCAGGTTCGAATCCCAGCGATGACTAGTCGATACGAATTCCGCACCCAGCTCGCACTGACCACGGTGCTGACGTAAAAATATCTTCTGTGGTAGACTGGTCATGGGTTAGAGTCCCCTAGCCATCGGGCTAACCACGAGAGGGTTTCGTGGTTTTCCTCGCCATATAACGCAAATGCAGGTTAGTTCCTTTAAAAGGTTTTCCACGAAGGCAAATTTTTCCCAATACTTGATCCAGGAGTTCCCTTGTCTTCTAAATTGGGTTCAAAGCTACAACGCTGCGGAGATGAACATTAGTAGTCGTAAGCTTAAAATAGGGACGGCTGTTCAACGATGATAATAAACTAAAATAAAATGTCATTTTTATAATCTCTATATATTAAGAAATCGCCAGCGCTGTTTTAGGTGTTTGGCTTTTCATTTTGTTTCACTGCATAAAACTTTAAGACTTAAACTTGAAATTACGAAGAATTGTAGTAAATTGCATACTGAGTACTATGAAATAAAAAAAATAACATTTAAAAATTAATTCGAAAATTATTAGCTTGAAGTAAAAAAAATTCCATACGGGCCGCTCTGCACACTAAAAGAATATAACTACAGATTTGAAATGAATTTTGCGAGCTAAAAAGAATAGTTTTGTTTCTAATGTTCACTCGAACATTTTTATATTCTAATTTATTTCAAAGTTACTGCAATTTTAAAGTGCCTATTCGCGAATTTTTCTCACTTTATTTTTCTTTAAATTATGCTCTGAATTTCTGAGCTTAAATTATAAGATTTAAAACTTTAAAATGACGATGGACTGTAGAGAAACAGGAGGGATATCTTATTAGGGAGGAGGAAAAAAAATTAACATTTGACAATTTATTCGAAAATTATCAACTTCTAACGAGCCATTTTTGCTTGTAAGCTTACCCTGAGTTTTATTACGAAATTCCAATTTGTCTGAAAGTTATTGTAAATTATGTAAGCTATTTATCCATTGTTGGAGAAAAAAATTTCTCGAGATATTTATTTTACAAGCTCGTGTTCGAGTTGAAGTCGATGAAAAGTAACAGGAAAAAGAGAGAGATTTCATGTTGTCTGATATAAATCTTAACATTTATACTGAAACTTATAAAAAAATTACAAAAAAAAGACTTTAATACAAGAGTGATAAAAACCTTTTCTTATTTAAATTGTCATAAATCTTGTCATGAAGAAAATTTATGTCTTATTTATTTCTTCCTATTTCGTTACATAATCTATACTCCTTGGGTTAAATTTTTGAAAATAACATATGATTATTTTTCAAATCCAGGGTAATCTTCCATTTTGTTATGATTAACGTATTGACAAAACATATTCTAAAATACTTTTTTTAAGATTAACATTTTGTTATGATTAACATATGAACTTACATAACGCTACAATAATATGTGTATCTCGTAAACAAAATGTTCTATATTTTTATGGAAGATATCTACTCTTAAGAAGAAGAAAAAAAAACAATAATGAATTGGGAGCTATTACGGGGGAAGATGAAGGGAACGAGAAGAGGGAGGAGCCTCGTAGTTGAATAAAAAGAAATAAAAGCACCGGGGAACAATCGTCCCGCAGTGGACTGATCGTTAAGACATGGTTCCCAGCAGATCACCGAAGTCAAGCATTACTTGCTGCGGTCAGTGTGCGGGTGGGTGACCACTTGGATCAGTCTGCGTAGGGACCGAGGATGTGCGGCGTTGGTCCTCGGTTAAACTGTGCTACCGTAAAGTGCTCGACTTCGCACGAAGGTCGTTGGGCTTCCGAAGCGGGGTGCCACCCCCTCTGCAAAGGATCAAAATTGTGATGGCATGTCTTTCGATCATCCTCAGAGATGTTTCCCAGGCCGTCGCCAATAGCCCATTGTACAGCTGTAGGTGCGACGTAAATGAACTACTACTACAACCGGGGAACAATCAGTGTATTTCGCCTGTGTGAGCATTCAGCTTTAAGTTTTGAAAAGTTTAAATTTTCTTTCCAAAGAAAGAAAAAGATTTTCAGACAGAATTTTTTTGATAATTTTCCAAATATTCTTGTATATAATGTAGTTTTCCTCGAAATTATAACTAATCTGTGTTGCTTTGGGGGGAGGAGGGGGGTTTCAGGTCAAGAATGCAAATATGTATAAGAAAACTTCGAAAGTTTTTTCCCAAAGATTAGCAGCATTATAATTTAAGAGTGAAAAGTAGAGTCTGTTTATGAATTGAAAAATATTTTGGTGAAGTTATAATATCCGGAACACTCAATTTGTGTACACAATATTATAAAGAAGAAAAAAAGAATACGATAGACAATTGCTAAATAGATAATTAAAGGTCTTGGGGTATTGCAAGAATAATCTACATTTTCATAATCAGATTAGTGTGCTTTATCAAAGTGTAAATTCCGGAAATTAGTAAAGCACCTTTCTGAAAACAATATTACGGATAAGTTCGATGTTAAAACATCACTTTTAGAAAAAGTGAGGCTTATCACTATATTTTCAGAAAGCCTTCAAGTTATTTTCATTCACAAAGGTTTTTTTTTATTATTATTTTGAGAAACGTTATTTTTTTTCGAAAGAAAAATTTGACTGAAATAATTCATAAAATAATATGTTTTCCGTCTTTGAACGTTTATATTTTCTTCTTTATCATTTTATTTATTAATTAATTAATTATTTATTTTTTCATTCACTTATTTATTTATCAATTTTTTCATTTACTTATTTATTTATTTGTTTATTTTATTTTATTTATTTATTTCACTTTATTTATTTATTTGTTTATTTTATTTTATTTATTTATTCACTTATTTATTTATTTATCTATTTATTTATTTATATATTTATTTCATTTTATTTATTAAAATACTAACTTAATACCACTTTTTGTAGGTAACGTAATTGTAAATTTATGTGATGCATTAAGTTCATAATTGTTGTTGCACCATCAGAAAATCAAAATATGACTATTCAAGTTCATAATTGTTGCGGCACCATCAGAAAATCAAAATATGACTATTCAAGTTCATAATTGTTGTTGCACCATCAGAAAATCAAAATAAGACTGACTATTCAAGTTCATAATTGTTGTTGCACAATCAGAAATGAAAATATGACTATTCAAGTTCATAATTGTTGTTGCACCATCAGAAAATCAAAATATGACTATTCAAGTTCATAATTGTTGTTGTAGCATCAGAAAATCAAAATATGACTATTCAAGTTCATAATTGTTGTTGCACCATCAGAAAATCAAAATATGACAATTCAAGTTCATAATTGTTGTTGCACCATCAGAAAATCAAAATATGACTATTCAATTTACCCGAAAAAATATTCATAGAATCCCGTGTTTTTTCTTATTATTGCTATAAATATTAAACTTAATAAACTAAATAATCAGAAAAATCATTTTTTTCTAAATTATATTCTATTCTTCTTGTAAAATTTAATCAGCGCAGCTCTCCAGCGCTAAAAAAAGACAAGGAATAAAATGGACAGGTCACGTTATGATGAACGAATGACTGTTATGATGAACAATGAACGAAGACTGTACCACCGAAGAATGCCAAACCAGCTAGTAGATAGAGAAAGGAATCCAAGATTGATTAATGGCTAAGGAAAAGACATTAGACACGAGCTTTAAATAATGGCAGATAACGTGACTTTTACTAAGTAATAAATAGATTAGAAAAAAGTAAACGCGTAAATACGATAAAATATTTTTTTTAAATCAATTAAATAAAAAAATTAATTAATTAAATTTAAGGAATTTATTTTATTTATTTTATGTATCACATTAAAAATGAAACATTTTTATTGTTACCTTTTTTTCTTAGAGTAAATTATTTTTACTGAGCATTTTTTTATATATTGCTTCTGAAACAAAAGCCACTAGACTCAAATAAAATTAATTGAATTTTTTATATTTCTAGTAATTTTTCTTATTAATTAAAAACTGCGACTATTGGAAGTAAGTTCAATTAAATTTTTACGTAGACTATCACTTAATCGTAAAATCATAAAAACTAAAAAAAAAACTGGAAATATCACTTTTGTTATGAAATTGAGAAAACCAAAGCCCATCCTGGACTGTCGAGCAATTCAAGAAGAGGAAACGCCACGAAATTCTTTAATATATTTGTATAATATAATGCTTTTTTTTCATTTTAATTGATAAATAATAGCTTAAACTGAATAAAATTAAGAAGTCGTATAAATGTGGAATAGGAAATTAAATTTAATTATGGATAAAAAGATTTTAATGTAAGGACAATCCAGAAAAAGTGATTAATTAGCATTGAAATTTGATGAAATTTGCAAAAAAGTAAAAATTGAAATGCAAAATTGTCAAATTCTTTATGATTGATTGAAAAAAGCATTTGAAGCATTGAAAAAAGTATAAGAAAAAAGCGTTTTGGTAAAAGAAAAAGGTGAAATTTAGGAAAAGTTTGTTTCGATATAATAGCATAAGAGATAAACTTATCTCAACTGAGCCAACTTGCAAAACTTATAGCAAAATACAAAAGTAAATGGTGCTATAAACTGCGTCTGGTTCAGAAACTAAAAGAAAGAAAATATAAACAGAACAATCCTTAGGGTCATGGATTATGTATTCACTTAAAGAACAAATTAATTAAAAATTAAATGAAAAATAATAATAATTAATCGTTATGAGACAATTAGTCATCTCTACAACGTTCTTAGCTTTATGAGACGCTTAATTCCCCTACAGAATAAAAAACTTTCAAAATAATTTTTTATTGAACAACGCATCAAAATAATAAAATAGCAATAAGTGATTATCAAAGAATACTTGGATAATATTAGGCAAAAACCTTGCTTCAAATAACCTTTTTCTTTTCTTTTTTTCCTCTTGAAAAAACAACTTATCTCTAATAGAAAATACCTTAAGGACCTTAACCTGTAAACAAAGGTTAAGGTCCTTAAGTGCTCCATAAAGCTTCTTTTTTTTTTTTAATCAGACTTAGTTTATAACACAGTTTAATCATTTTACTTAGAAAATTATTAAAGTAGTATACATCAGTAGTCAGTTATATTTGTCTTTTACGTTTGGCGCATTATAGCTGTCATTAAACTCTGCATTCAAGCCAATCAGATGAGATAGAAATTTCTTACTATCTTAATTGATGGCGTGGCACTTAAGAATTTTATTTTGGAAAAAGAAAAGCAACAATTGAATTATTTTTTTATTACTTAAGATTAAAAAAATATGCTATAATCATCGCACCCGAATATAAAATTATTATCACGCCTCTGATTAGAAAACTGTCCTAATATTAATATTTTATGAATTTGGGAAAATGCTTTTCGTTGCACTGCGTACCATATAGGAAGCTTTTACATTACCGTCAGATGTTCTATCCCAGTTGTACTTAATACTTTTAAATAGTGTCATAGTTTTGATCAATATGGCCATCGCAAATATTCTGTAACATTTTTTTAAAAACATCATTGTGGACAAGATCGAAATAACTTGCAATAAATCTTCCAGTTTCATAAGTCACATTTCTTCCAAGGAGAACATTTTGACATCAAACTGTGCCTTGGTATTGTTTTCAGTTAGGCACTTTCGAAATTTCCATTAATTATCAGCCTAAGACATAGAAATATCATATCACCTACATGAATATAAAGGCATTTTTCATCAAAAACGCTCTAAAAGACGTATTTCTGAGTGAATTGAAAAGATGGCTTATCATTATATATCCTGAAGCCTTTCTATTGCTAGTTAATGTACTATTTTAAGAGAATAACACTATCTCTCCTTGTACGCTAAGTCCAAAATTGTCAACTTCGTTATTTTTAAAATCAAACTAAAATAATGTTTATAAAAATGAAATTGGTAGTAGTCGTAACATCTAAGTTAACACTGTTTCTTTTGATAACATTTTAAGTGACCTCTATTGTTGCATAAACCTATCATTAAATATAAAGTTAAATAATAATTATAAATATTTGTTTATTGATTAGTTTATTTTGAGAAACAAGAGTTATCTTCAATTGAGTGTGCTAGTCTTTAAAAAGGCTTCTTTTTCTTTTTTAACATCCAAAAGAAATATAATAAAATTATCGTTTTATTAAAAATATCGTCTGTCACATTTCTAATGGATTCATTGATTTTCCTCGATAAAAATTTTTTACAACTAGTGATTTTACAGTATTGTTTTTATGTAATTCCCCAATTTAAACATTTTATTTCTAAGTCATCAAAAAGAATAGCAAGCAAGATCACCAAGACAATTATTGAATAAACTCGAAAATTGCATGAAAAAAGAAAACCAAAATATAAAAAAAAGAACGAAATTCAGAGAGAAAGAACAAGTGAAAAATCGTTTTCTATAAAAATTGTTATCATTTGTAACCACAGCCTTGCATGACAAGTCCCCAACATTGTAAGAACAATAAGAGATAAATGAGCAGAAACCAAACAAACACTAAAAAGACATGAAGAGAATTCGTTTTGTTCGGTATTCGGTGGAGTGGAAAAATTTCGAATCAAAGGAGGGAAAAAAGCAGACAAGAATTTTATCGACTTGAGAGGCTGTCGCGTTCTCTCCCTCTTCAAACTTCTCGCAAGAGGGTATTTTCATTCAAATTATTGAAAGAGAGAATGTTGGGAAGGCAGTGGGGACATGGGAACCGGATATGGTGGAATTATAACGAGGAGAAAAGCCATTTTTCGTCACGCGTCAGCTACGTAGACTATTATTGACGGAGTCCACTTGTCAGACTTGTCAGTGAGGCTTGAGAGAGGAAAAGGACGATGTAGATGTTGTTATGCGCCTGCGCACATGGTTATGGAAGAGTTCATTTCTCAGTGCAACTGGGTTGCGTGGGGAATAAGGTCAACGGCTTGTTAAGGAGATTGAAGACTTGATGAGATGATTTCGTTGCGTAGTGAGGTCGGGCTTTGAGATCTTTCCGAATTTTTCGTTTAATTTGTCTTTTTATAGTTGATATTGAACATTTTTGTTGTTCTAGCAAAAAATTAATGCTCGTTTGAAGAAAGACGCTTTGTCAAATCGCTTAGGAATTTTTCCTTTCGCAATTGTTCTTGGTTATTGTTGTATGCAGTTAGTTGAACTTGAATGCTTGATTTATTAATGCGGATCAAATGCTAAGTTTTTTAGTTTTTTTTATTTATTTATTTAGCGGAATTAAATTAATATCTTAATTGATTTGATGAAATTCTTCAATTCGCTTTGGAAAATTACTATTGCAGCGCGATAGTTTTGCTGTTCAGATTATTTTGACGAATATCAGTCATAGATACTTAATGAATAAAGTTTCAAATTATCTTATTTATGTTTTATGTCTAAAGTACGACTGAATTATACGTTTTCGTCAATGTTTGACATTTTTGTCATTAAATTGACTTCTTTACGGACAGTATTATCATTTTTTAGTCTTTACCGTGATTTGAAATTGAAGAAACGTAATTCATGTCGTACGTTGTATAGCGTATGAGCCACTCTCTCTTATTCTCCTTTTGTATGTTTTTTTACTTAACTTAACTGAATTGAAAATCATCAACCAAAACCATGGAACGGCAAGTTATGCAAGAATTCATTGAAATATATCATAGTGAACAGTCTTTGTGGAAAGTCCGATCCAGCCATTACAACAACAAGACAATCAAAAGTATGGCCTACAGTAGATTGGTTGCAAAACTTCAGGAACTGTATCCCAATGCTGACATAGAGTTAGTCAAAAGAAAAATCAATGCTCTTCGCACCAATTACAGGTAGATATAACTTTCCTTTTTTATTATTATTATTTTAATAATTAAGGTAGGTAGGTACTTTAATTACGTCGCACTAGAGCTGTACAATGGGCTGTTGGCGACTGACCGGGAAACGTCTCTGAGGATGATCCGAAGACATTGCATCACAATTTTGATCCTCTGCAGAGGAGATGGCTCCCCTACTTTAAGCCAGACGACCTGCGCGCGAAGTCGAGTGCTTTACGGTATAACAGTTTTACGAGGATCGATACCGTGCAACCTCAATCCCTACGCAGACTGTTCAAAATGGTCACCCACCAGCTTACTGTCCGCAGCCAGTGGAGCTGGACTCCGCTGTTCTACTGGGAACCATGTCTTTACAATCAGTCCATTGCGGGACTAATGATTAAGGTCTGTTCTAAACTGTTCCCATTGGTAGAGTTTCACTCGCATTTGCTGTGAGCACTGCTTAATAAAGGAAAAAACTCGCACTCTTAGTCCAATGCAAGCGCGATTGAAACGGTATGCAAAAACTTTTAAATGGCTTACCGTTATTAATTATCTTACAGTTTAATTACTACTTGTTAGGAAGCGAGTTCAATTACTTTGATGGAGCTATGATGGCTCAGGGGATAGAGAGTTCACCATCCAATGAGGTGAACCGGGTTCGAATCCCAGCAATAACTGATCAATATGAATTCCGCATCCGGCTTGCACCGACCACAGTACTGACGTAAAATATCCTCAGTGGTAGACGGATCATAGATTAGAGTCTCCTAATCGTCTATCGAACAGTGGAAGGTTTTCGTGGCTTTCCACTCCATGTAACGCAAATGTGTTTTACTACCATCAAAAGTCCTCCATGAAGGTAAATTTCTCCCAAACCCTGATCCAGGAGTTTCCTTGTCTTCTGAATTGAGTTGAAAATTACAAGGTTACGGAGTTGAACATTAGTAGTCGTAAACCCAAAATTGGGTCGGCTGTTCAACGACGGATATAAAATAATATTACTTTGATGATCCGCCATAAATCCTTTCACATCTCTCCAGTGTGGCTGATTAGCCCAAAAGGCGAATAACCCACAGTGAAATTATTATTAAAACTTGCTGAAAGAAATTATTACTGGAGACATTAATTTAAATAAAGCAGATTAATTAAAAAACTCAAGTTATGCAGTTCAAAAGGATAATTGTTAAATTATTAAGTGAATGGATTAATTAAAAAGAGAATAAAATGTCCTTGTTTCAATGATGATTTTATTACCTTTTTTTTTCATTTTAATTGCATTAATTTACTTATTTCAAATAAGCAGTTAAGATCAAATTCCAATTGCTAAAATGAAAAAAGTTGGACCCTTAAGATGAGACGCTTCAGAAATACTTAATTTCTTATTGCGCAACTAGTTCTTCAATTTTACAAAAACTAAAAAGTCGTTTTTTATTATCATTATTATACTTTACCGCATAGCAGTTTTGTGTCTATTGAGAAAAAAAAATCATCTCTAATAGTGTCCTATCACGGCATGATCTAAACGGCATAGAGCATATGGCTTGCATCTTCAAGAAAATTATATTAGGAGTTCGTTTAGTCCTAGTATGAGGTATATATCAGCTGTTGTGCCCTAAATTTGTTACAACAGCATAACTTATCAAGGTGCGAAGCCTTCGCTTTGTATTCTCAGTTTCGAAATAAAATTAAGCATTGGTTTTGTCGGCATATCTTGCATCTGAAAATGGTTTTGCCTTTGTATTAATATAATTCTTACATACATTAAGTTTGTGTACTCATTACAATAAAAAGAAGCTTATAAGCCCTTGTCAAGTAGAACTGATAGCACAAGTTCGAAAGGAACATAGCAACGATATATCCATGTTACGGCTATATTGTAACCCGTACCTCCACGCTACACCGTGTTTGGGAGAAGTGTTGAGACTCGTAACCAAATGAGCATTATGTATATCAGAGTTAAATTTCATCCTCATGTCATATGGTAGTTTGAAGAAAGAAGGCATCGTCTCATCTGGTTTAAATCTCATAACGCATGTTCAACAAAAAATACATGCGATATGGTAGTTTGAAGAAAGAAGGCATCGTCTCATCTGGTTTAAATCTCATAACGCATAACTGTATAAAATGATGAAATCACTAGGAGAAAAGACAAAAGCCCTCGACAGCGACATAAAAATCTGATGATTTGTGCCCCGAAATCCGAGAGTTAACAGAGAAATAGCATACAAGTTTTTATTAAAGTAGGACTCCACACAAACTGTCAATTAAAATTGATCGGATCTACATCTATAATCTAATCTATGCCTATCTATAACCTGAAGAGAGTTGTATTTAACCTAAGGATATACATTTCGAAATGATTGAAAACTAAAATATGAGTTACTGTATTTCCTATTGAAGTTGTTATCGATTCTGTTACGTAAAAATTTGCATTAAGAAGTGGTAAAAAATTTAAATATGAAGTTAATGGACGTTTTAAATTTTGATTCACTCATTAAGGGCGTTTTTACTATCCCTTTTACACTCTGTACGTAGACTGTGTTTAAAAAAAGTTCGACCATAATATTACCACCTTAATAATACGGTGCAATTTGCCTGAAACCTTAATAAAGTATTGATTTGAACCATGCTCTCGTCCAAGTTGAACCATAATATCATTCAATCAAGTTTTAATAATATGATTCCATTCGTTATCTTAATAAATATGAAGTTTATCCAACTAGTTCAAAACACTCCGAATTTTCATACAAATGAAACATTTTGACCTCAGCGTGTTGGAAAAATTAACATCTACTAATTCTTTATGTATTCAGCTTTTCTCCAAAATAATGCATTATTTACTCACTACGTTCAGGAAAGTTAATTTGTATATTTGTTTTAGAATATTAATAGTGTTTGTAAATTATTATTTCTTTTTGCTAAAACGTGACTTACAGACCAGTAAGAATGAAGTAAACGTATGCAACTAACTATATGCGTGATGATCTTCGCAGATAAATAAAAATTTCATCATAAATTAACTTTTCTGATTACTTGATATCCTTAAATTTCTGAAAAATTTTTAAGCAGGAGAGAATTTAACAAACTAAAATCAAACGTGAATGACTTTCGCTGTGATTTTTTTCCTCATTTTAACATGTCATAATTGTGTGATTTGTTTATGCTTTGACTAAGTTTTTTTCTTTTCTTTTTTTTCTAATTCGAAGCTTTTTTTCTAACTCTTCAGCATATTGAAAACCCATTTTTATTCGACTTCAATATAATATTTTTTTCAAAAAATTATTTACAAAAAGGTATTGCGTAAAATGCCTTTATCACATATATACACAGATTCAAATTGCTTAGTTGTTTAACCCTCTGATTTTTTTTTTTCAATGTGAAAGCACTTGTTTGATAATCGATCTGTGTAAGTTCAACACAAATCTCTTTGATATTAAGCAGTAACATCACTATATGGTAAAAGTTTTAGCCTCTGAAGAATAAAAAATTATTTCAAAAGTTTACCTCTAACTTATTTTGGTTTCTCTATTTTTTATTCACTGTTTTGTTTTTTATTCTGTTTTATATGAAATCAATGTGTTTCGATTTGGCAAGTGAGAGAGTAAAATTGTCAATTTACTCTTTTCGTTTTCTAAAAATTAGATGAATTGCTCACTATTCAATTTGATTCTTCACAGTAGCAGCTTTAGATACTATTTTGGTAAAAATTAGGTAGGCCGGGATAGCCTGATTATTCGGGCGTTGGGTCCATGTTCAAGTCCGTGAGTTTAAATCTGTCAGGTCACAAAGTACTCCATTTTTTCCATAACAAATCATGCCTTTGGGGATACTGAATTAGAGATTGATCTTTCTATGGTTCAGGTCAACATTCTGTGGAGGTTCTAATGGATGCATGAATGTGTCCACCCTATAAACGGACTGTGACGTGCGTGTGGCTGAAGTCGTATTCGTGGCCATAGATGGCGCCACTTAAAAACAAGAAATGCACCTTCTGCCTTAAATTCGCAGACTTGCTGGCATTGGAAGCAACACAAATGTAGTAATAATACCGTGAAATTTTTAAAACGGCCTTTGTGAAGCATAGCGTTCACACTATTGAAAATTAAGATTTACTAGAGGATTAAGTCAGTGATGAATAAAAATAATTAAATCATAAACGAATTATTGTTATTTATCAATATAGTATTGTAACATATATTTTAATGCACACCAAAATTAACAATACATTAATTTCTAAAATGGGATTGAAAGATATATTTATTGATTTAAAAGCGGACAGCTTAAAAACTCATTTTGTTTTTGATGCTAAAATCCTTCTCTTTGTATACCAACTTAAAGATACTCTAGAGATATACAAGATACTCTATTTACTAAGTTTCCTAATAAAAGAATCGAAATTTTAAGGCTATTGATTTTTTTCATTACATGTAATTAGAAGTGTTATTTACCTTACAACATATTTTAAATAATTTTATTTTGTTTTGAAACTTTATATTTTTTCTATAGTTCTTAAAAATATCTAATATTAAATTATTTTTTTTTCAATTCTGTGTATATCTACGTTAAGAGCGGTGAAAATATAAACACCAAGTATTTCCTCCCGTGACTTCTCAATAAATTATGAAGACTTCTCATGAAGCAGACTATATGGTTAATCTTTTCGTAAATCTGATTCTATACGATTATTGAATCATTTTCTCTACCTGAAACCATTAGACATCTTCCTAATGGAAGTAGCTAAGTGAAGAAGTTTCCGGTTAATGATACTGCTCTGGCAAAATACAGTATAGGGAGCAATGTTAAGTTCGTTTCTTATCTTAAGGAACTGCAATAAAGGACCTTTCTGTAATACTGCCGAGTATATTAAATGTTGCTTTATTATCTTCGATTTTTTTTTTCAATTTATAAAATAGACTTTTTTTTTCTAGTTGAACACGAGTCCCTACGATCCCAATGTGCGACAGTCACTTAATCACTCTCTCTCTCTCTTTTTTTTTTTTTCGCTCTTTCTCTGCTCTCTATCTTTCTTTTCTCTTTCTTTACTTCTTCCATTCTCTCTCTTTATTTCCCTCTTTCTCTCTTTTTTCCTCTCTATCTTTCTATATTTTATTTTATTACATTATAATACGTAATGTTTTCGGTCACGTTTATTTTATTTTTTATTTTCTGGAATCAATTAGGCTTATTTACCTGATAATAACAAAATAACGAAATGAAACTTTTTAGTTTTTCTTTACTTCTGAAAACGATAATATGGTCTAATTTTGTAACTTTTTTAACACTATTCGCGATCGCAACGAACTATAGGGGGCGTTGTTGTATGAGACGCTTACCTGCGATTTCTATATGAACCGTCATTCAGTTACTCTGGAGACGTCGTTAATGTAGCGTGTAGCATTGCAACGTTCCTTCTTTAATGTGGCTTATTAAATTTAAAAAAGAAAAATGCTTGATCTTCTTTCTTGTACAACCGAAAACAAAATGGTATCTCTTTTTATTAGAGAAGGAATATCCAAAACACATCGGAAAAATATTTGTA